ATGCAATGTGTAATGATCCAGTCAGTGTAATTAGCACATCTGACACCCATTTACCATTGCTTTGTGTTGAGAACATTCAGAATCTCCCCGCTAGTTATTTGACAATATACATTAAATTAGGGTTAATTACACTCACCTTACAGTGGTGCAGGACACTTGAACTTACTCCTTCTGTCTAGCTGTATTTTTGTGTCTGTGAGCCAACCTCTGGCTATCTCCCCACCCACCCATCCTTCCTAGCCTCTGGTAACCACTCTTCTACTCTGTTTCTATGAGATCAACTATTTTAGCTCCCACGTAGGAGTGACAACATGTGGCATTTATCTTCCTGTCCCTGGCTTATGTCGCTTAACAAGGTGTCCTCCAAGCTCGTCCATGTCACTGTGAATGACAGGACACCATTCTTTTTATAGCATAAAATAGTTTTCCGGTGGGTGTATGTACGATATTTTCTTTAACCATTTATCTGTTGGTGTGGACTTAGGTAGATTCCGTATCTTGGCTGTTTGGAATAGTGCTACAATAAACAGGGTTTTTTTTTTTTTTCCTGTGGATAAGTCTTCAGTAGTGGGATTGCTGGATCATACTGTAGCTCTGTTTTTAGTTTTTCGAGGAACCTCGATAGTGTTTTCCATAGTAGCTGCACTAATTTACCTTCCCTCCGACAGTGTATGAAAGCTCCCCTTTCTCTGCATCCTCACCATCATCTGTCGTTTTCTGAAAGTCTTTTTGATAATAGTTGTTCTAACTGGGATAAAATGATATCTCATTGTGATTTTAATTTGCATTTTCCTAATGATTAGTGATGTTAAGCATTTTTTCACATGCGTATTGGTTACTGGTATGTCTTCTTTTGAGAGATGTGTATTCGGCTCCTTTGCCTGTTTTAAAATCCGATTATTTGGGGTTTGTTTCTGTTGCACTATTTGAGTTCCTTGTGTATTCTGGATGCAAATCCTTTGTTGAATAAATACTTCACAAATATTTCCTCCTATTCTGCTGGTTGTCTCTTCACTTGATTTTTTGTTTTTGACAGAATCTCGCTCTGTCACCCAGACTGGAGTGCAGTGGTGTGATCTCAACTCACTGCAAGCTCCGCCTCCTGGGTTCACACCATTCTCCCACCTCAGCCTCCCGAGTAGCTGGGACCACAGGTGCCGCCACCATGCCCGGCTAATTTTTTGTATTTTTAGTAGAGACGGGGTTTCACTCTGTTAGCCAGGATGGTCTCGATCTCCTGACCTCGTGATCTGCCCGCCTCGGCCTCCCAAAGTGCTGGGATTACAGGCGTGA